AAATGAGACATCAGGTCTACCCATTGAAGTCAATGGGGGCAAACGAGTATCAGGTCTACCCATTAAAGTCAATGGGGGCAAACGAGTATCAGGTCTACCCATTAAAGTCAATGGGGCAAATGGGACATCAGGTCTACCCATTAAACAGCAGGGCAAATATGGCATCAGGTCTACCCATTAAAGTCAACGGGGATAAATGGGACATCAGGTCTACCCATTGAAGTCAATGGGGCGAACGAGTATCAGGTCTACCCATTAAAGTCAATGGGACAAACGGGACATCAGGTCTACATATTAACCTCGATGGGGATCAATAGGATATCAGGCCTACCCACTAAACTTAGCAGGGGCAAATAGGACATCAGGTCTATCCACTAAAGTCATAAAGGATCAAAGGGACATCAGGTCTACCCATTAAACTTAGCGGGGCAAACAGGACATCAGGTCTACCCATTGAAGTAAATGGGGATCAAGGGGGCATCAGGTCTACCCATAACACTCAGTGGGGTAAGTAGGACATCAGGTCTACCCATTAAAGTCAACGGGGATAAATGAAACATCAGGTCTACCCGTTAAAGTCAATAGGGATAAATGGGACATCAGGTCTACCCGTTAAAGTCAGTAGGGCAAATAGGACATCATGTCTACCCATTAAACACAATGGGACATCAGGTCCATCCATTAGTCAATGGGGATCGATGGGACATCAGGTCTACCCGTTAAAGGGGAACACCCGAAAACAGGTCTACCCATTAAACTCAATAGGGAACACCCAACAACAGGTCTACCCATTAAACTCAATGGGAAATATCCGATAACAGGTCTACCCATTAAACTCAGAGGGAAATATCCGATAACAGGTCTACCCATTAAACGCAATGGGGAGCACCCGACAACAGGTCTACCCATTAAACTCAATGGGGAACACCTGACAACAGGTCTACCCGTTAAACTCAATGGAGAACACCCGACAACAGGTCTACCCATTAAACTCAATGGGGAACACCTGCCAACAGGTCTACCCATTAAACTCAACGGGGAACACCAGACAACAGGTCTACCCATTAAACTCAATGGGGAACACCAGACAACAGGTCTACCCTTACGACNTTGGGGCTCCAGGGGTGGATTTTGGGGTGTCACTGGCTCACTATTTGGCAGGGGTGGATTTTGGGGTGTCATTGGCTCACTATTTGGCAGGGGTGGATTTTGGGGTGTCCCTGGCTCACTATTTGGCAGGGGTGGATTTTGGGGTATCACTGGCTCACTATTTGGCAGGAAGTGGATTTGGGGGGGCGGGTCCCTCACCTGGAGGCGCCGAAGGGCCCCCAAATTCGGGGGGAGGCCCCTCAGGAGGTTCCCGGAAAGGTCCAGGTGGGTCACCAGGACCAGCCGCTCCGCCAGGGGAAGTGACGTCAGCGCCTGGGGGCGGGGCCAAGAGGGAACCGGTATGAACCATTATAAACCAGTATGAACCAGTATAAACCAGTATAAACCAGTATAAACCATTATAAACTGGTATGAACCTGTAGAAACCAGTATAAACCAGTATAAACCAGTAAGCCCCAAAATCACTCCCAGTGGGTCCTGCACTCCCTCCCAGTATAAACCAGTATAAACCAGTAGAAACCAGTAGAAACCAGTAAACCCCAGAATCACTCCCAGTGGGTCCCGCACTCCCTCCCAGTATAAACCAGTATAAACCATTATAAACCAGTAAGCCCAAAATCCCTCCCAGTGGGTACTGTACCCCCTCCCGGTATAAACCAGTATAAACCATTATAAACCAGTATAAACCAGTAAGCCCCGAAATCACTCCCAGTGGGTCCTGAAACCCGTCCCAATAAAAACCAGTATAAACCAGTATAAAACAGTAGACCTCAAAATCACTCCCAGTGGGTCCTGCACCCCCTCCCAGTAGAAACCAGTATAAACCACTAAGCCCCAAAATCACTCCCAGTGTGTCCCGCACTCCCTCCCAGTAAAAACCAGTATAAACCACTAGAAACCAGTAACCCCAAAATCACTCCCAGTGGGTCCTGCACCCCCTCCCAGTATAAACCAGTAGAAACCAGTAACCCCAAAATCACTCCCAGCGTGTCCCGCACCCCCTCCCACTATAAACCAGTAGAAACCAGTAAACCCCAAAATCACTCCCAGTGAGTCCTGCAGTCCCTCCCAGTATAAACCAGTAGAAAACAGTAAGCCCCAAAATCACTCCCAGTGGGTCCCGCACTCCCTCCCAGTAGAAACCAGTAGAAACCAGTAAGCCCCAAAATCACTCCCAGTGGGTCCCACACTCACTCCCAGTATAAACCAGTAGAAACCAGTATAAACCAGTAAGACCCAAAACCACTCCCAGCGGGTCCCGCACCCCCTCCCAGTATAAACCAGTATAAACCAGTAAGCCCCAAAATCACTCCCAGCGTGTCCCGCACCCCCTCCCAGTACAAACCAGTAGAAACCAGTATAAACCAGTAAGCCCCAAAACCACTCCCAGTGTGTCCCACACCCCCTCCCAGTAGAAACCAGTATAAACCAGTATAAACCAATATAGACCAGTATAAACCATTATAAACCAGTAACCCCAAAATCACTCCCAGTGGGTCCTGCACCCCCTCCCAGTACAAACCAGTATAAACCAGTAAGCCCCAAAACCACTCCCAGCGAGTCCCGAAATCCCTCCCAGTACAAACCAGTAGAAACCAGTAGAAACCAGTAAGCCTAAAAATCACTCCCAGTGGGTCCTGCACCCCCTCCCAGTACAAACCAGTAGAAACCAGTAGAAACCAGTAAGC